CCTCCCGACTCTGTGTGCCCCGGTCGGCGTCCCGAGGCGGTCGTCTTGTCTCTGGGCCGAAGGGTGGCGCGATGCCCGGGGACGGCCTCCCTGAACAGCTGGAGACCCCCTCGGAGGGGGGCAGGACGGTCGCGGTACCCGCAGGCTCCCGTCCCTGCGGGCGCTGCCCTCTCTGCCCAGGACACTGGCGGTACTAATACTATGCGATGACTAATTGCGAGTTTTGTTCACAGAGCACAGATGTGTCGAGTCGGCAAAAATCCGAGCCAAATACCCTGACCGTGTCCCGGTGAGTAACCAAGCCAGCTTCATCTGAGTACTTAGAGGCAAAGGTGGATAAGCTGTTTCCATCCTGCCCTCTCTTTGATCAGAGCCTACTAAGTAAATTCATCTTCCCTTTTGTGTCCTTGGGTATTTTAAAGAGGCCCCAAATACATCTAACTAATCCGACATTCCCTCCTCTGCCAGAGTCCGTGTTGACAAGTAAGGAAGAGTGACTTTCTGAACACTTTCCAGGCATGTTTTTGGTTCATCAGTGTCCTTGTTTCTTCTAATGGCAATTATGTCCCAGTAAATACCTTCAGTGTCTTGAGGATTCATTCTGTGCCTCATCCCAAGAAAGATCATAAATTCATTAAACCTTGACAGTCTTCCATCATGACTATATGAGGAAGGTGATTTTTCCCTTATGTATTCCATGCCTATAACCACTCTTATAGTGAAGCTCCCCATGCAAAGCCTGTTGTTTGAAGAGCCAGTGCAACTGGTGACCCCCTCTTTTCTGCATTAATACCTGCCTATCTGCTAAGTAGTGAATGACCTTTCTTCTTCACTTGACAATCATCTCTTTTATCATGTTCCAGTCAGTGAAATGACCAAGCTTCATGTCCTTATGTAACAGCTGGCAACATGTACACAATCTCAACTTACCTGCTCGAGAGTAAAATTTCCCATATCCCATATAACCACATGCCAGTTAATGACACTCCTGTCTGACTTCTTGGTCTGTTAGGCAGCACAGCCCAGAGAAGAACCTCTAATCCTATTGACTTTCTCTGCTGCTGAGTTGCACCTAGTCACAGCATCTTCTCCAGCTGCAGTGTGGCAAGCTGATCTGATCCTGGCCATTGTCTGCTTGGCTAACTACCCTCTCATATTTAGACTGTAGGATGCTAATGACCATACAGCTCCACAGATACCCATTTGTCCATTTCAAGAATATCTTTCATAACCCTAGGGGAAAAAGAGACACTGAAACTCTTAGTGTGAGTCAGAATCACATGATGCTGTATCAAGAATGGACAGCAAGGTGTGGATGCACACAGGAATTAAATCTCAGATTTCAGGGTGATGCTTTGTCTGGGTTGATAGATGTGTCCTGCTTGATGATTCAGCTTGAGCCACGTACCTTTCACAAAATAGTTGGTATCAAATACATTTTTTGGCATTTAATAGTCAAAAATGTTTTTCAGGCTTAATGTATGTTTCCTGCTTTCCTGGTTACAGCCTGCATCCACAGTGACATAGCTCAAAGTGACTTCAGCTCTCAGCTGCTGTATCTACCTAGATTTAGAGATGTTTCAGTGGTTCAAACCTATTAAGATAATAGATGAACAGTCTGCCGCTGTCCTAGGCTAGACCTTTTAGGAATAAAATGGGAGGTGGAAGAAATTTCTGCTTGCTAAGCACTGCGATTTTGAATTTGCCTGGGGAATCAAGTTGTCTAAGGGTCAAAGGTATCTATTAAGTTTTACTAGAAGCAGTTTACCAACAGCCTGGACTTCCAGTTATGACAGTTTCTGCAATATGAAGCTAAAATACCTAGTGTGTTATTGTAATATTTAAAAAAAAAATAATAAAAAAAAGGATGAGTTGTTAAGGCTTCAGTAGACCTGACAGGTCCTCTTTACAGTTCCCTCATACTAAATTGCAAGGGGCAGCTGCTATGCCCTCTTTCTGTTTCTGTTGGCATAGCTGAAGAAATTATAAGGAAAATGCTCTCCAAATCATAAGACAGCATATTTTGTAAATTTACTTGAGCATTACTTGTATGCTGTAGCAACGGGGAATGCAGAGCTAAGGAATGGAGACACTGGAACCTCTTGTAAGCCTTATTTCCCCACGTGCTGCATTTTTCCTTCAGGAACAAGGCTGCGTGAAGCAGTAGGTGTTGGGTCCTTTCCGCAAGTAATGCTTAATTCTCCTTCCTCCTGTACCTGTTGCTTTTTGTTTCTTTGTGGCCATCTTGCCATCTTTTCCTTCCTGTAGTCAATTTCTAATTTCTTAACATATGAAGTAGGATACTCTCATGTCAGTTCGGCATAATACAAAGCACAGAATAGCATCACCGAGTCATACGTTGACAACAGTAACATGCCTTAGAATGCAGTTATATTCAGAATAACATGTTAACAAAAAAATTTCTGGTTTCCAGTGTTAGACAGTTGGACTAGATGATTGTTGTAGGTCCCTTGCAACTGAACTATTCTGTTCTAGTCTACTTTCTTTTTCTGTTGTGATAGTGCTAAAACCAAAATAAGCAGTGTCTGTACAAAGGCAATGCACTTCTTCAGATCACCTGCCATTGCTCAGGTACCAGTACTCCAGTCCAGTTGAATTTTTCATGACTGCACTCCAGCTGAATGGTGCAAGGAAGGCATATGGTTAAATGGATTCCTCAGTTTGTTACTATAAATTGGAGTAAGTGAGAAGACCTAAGTCCTGGACTCCTTCGTTCAATCACCAGTTAGCTTAAGGGAAGTAGTGCAGACAAGCCACTCCTAAACCTTAAGTTTTCAAGCTGCTTGTGCTTTGAATGTCTCAGTAGATGCCCGTTCCTCTCTTGCTCCTGTCCCTCAAGCTTTTGTCACAGAATATGGTATTTTTGAAACTTCCGAACATTTTTAAAGTTAGCCATATTTAAACACAATGGGACATTACTGTTCTGATATGAATAAATCACAGAATCGCAGAACAGTTGAGGTGGGAAGGGATCTCTCGTAGGTCATCTGGTCCAACCCCTCCCTGCTCAAGCAGGGCCACCTCCAGCCAGCTGCCCAGGACCATGTTCAGATGACTTCTGAGTATCCCCAGGTGGGAGACTCCATAACCTCTCTGGGCAACTTGTGCCTGTGCTTTGTCACCCACATAGTGTAAAGTGTTTCCTGATGTTCAGAGGGAACCTCTTTTGCTTCAGTTTGTGCCCACTGCCTCTTGTCCTGTCACTGGGCACCACTGAAAGCAGCCTGGCTCCATTGTCTTTGCACCCTCCCTTCAGGTATTTATATGCACTGGTAAGATGCCCCTGAGCCTTCTCTTTAGTCTGAACAGTCCCAGCTCTCCCAGCCTTTCCTCGTATGAGGGATGCTCCAATCCCTTAAATGTCTTTGAGGCCCTTTGTTGGAATCTCTCCAGCATGTCCATGTCTCCCTTGTACCAAGGAGCCCTGAACTGGACACAGCACACCAGGTGTGGCCCCACCAGTGCCAGTACAAGGGAAGGATCACCTTGCTGGACCTGCTGGCAGTACTTTGCCTAATGTAGCCCAGGATGCCACTAGCTGCCTTTGCTGTCAGGGCACACTGCTGCCTCATGTTCAACTTGGTGTCCACACTGCAGTAATTTCATAGCAGTGTACAGAAAGTTGAAAAATGGTATACTTTCCTGTCACAGGTTTCTTTTAGGCATATCGCATCTTTTTACCCCACAGCTGTCAACCTCGGGCATAGGAAGCCTTGAGACATTGTGTATATGAATGCAGGTTTCAGTACAGTTTTAAAATCAGGTTTTACAGTGCTGAGCCAGTCCTACCTCTCATTTGGTTGTGGTCAAGAACATTTTTTGTTCCTCCCCTCTGCTTGCTGTTGTAAGCCTGTACCAGCAAGCGACTTACCAAAGCTGTCTGTTGATACCAATCCTGAAAAGCCTGACCTTCACCCTTGTGCTTTACAGGTCATAGTGGAGAAGGTCTCAGGATCTCAGATCGTTGATATTGACAAGAGGAAGTACCTAGTTCCATCTGACATCACCGTGGCCCAGTTCATGTGGATCATCAGGAAGAGGATTCAACTGCCATCTGAGAAAGCAATATTCCTCTTTGTAGACAAGACTGTCCCACAATCCAGGTGAGAGGCTAGTCACTTAGTATTCAGAACCATTTCAGCAAGATTGTGTGTATCAGAAGGACAGTAACTCCCCTCTTCGGGGCTTATTTGGTGATTTTAGGAGGTATCTGGTTACATCTTAATCTCACCGTGATAGGGTTTTTTCTCATGAGTTTGATAAACATCTTATTTCTTGAGCTAGGCTGAAAGGAAAGGTGACTCAAAAATATATTATGATTTACTTCCATGGCAAGAGGGTGAGCTCTGGAGTTGTTGTGATATCTTGATTGAGTGCAAGAACATTCACATCATCAACACTAAAAATAATAATAATTTTCAATTTAACAAAAAAGTTGCATGTTAAATACTCGAAAGAAAACGCTATACGTTATTCTGAAAAAACGTTAACCTCTCAGCTCACAAAGAAATTATAACGTTACAGACTAGATGCTGTTACTTGTTTTAAAAATTGCTTATGTTCTTCTATAAGCACAAAATTACTATAAAAAGGTTTTTCACATTGCTTTTATATAGGAGTAAGTTTCATTGCTCTCCGCTACATGCAGAATAACATAGCACAAGCATCTACTACAACTGCTTTCTATATGAGATGCTTTAATAGTATTTGAGGAAATAGTAGGTCATGATGTTATGTGGCTTAGATAAAACATTATTCTTATTAATCCTTAGCTGTCTAACAGTAACAGTCCCTCCAGGTAATCTGCCCAGACTCGGTTAGGAATATTTTTATTTACTTTGTGATACACAGTAGGGACCTGTGAGAACCATCTTTTTCTGCTTGCTTTCTTCCAAGTGTATTAGGAATGCCTATATGTCATCCAGGAAAAAAAAAAGAAGGCACATTGTCTCATCTCACATAGTCACGATGAGGCATCACATCTCTGCTGGAAAAACACGGCCTTTAACATTCAGTATTAATGCAAAAATGGTAACTTCTTAACAGATAAACAAAAATCTAATCTGTTAATGGCTCTGCTCCTCTCATAGGCTGAGTTTATTACATAGACCAGTAACTCTTGACATCCTTCTCTCCTCATCCAGAAGTTTATCTACTACTCACCAATACCCTTCCATTTCAAGTACTGCCTGCAGCTCTTTCCAGCTCCTTCCTTGGGTAAAAAGCCACGATTGTTTTCCCTATCACTCACATTCAGTCTGCATCTTTCAGTTCACTAGCCTTTTCTCAGCCTTGGGAATTCAGAGAAAGGTGAGATGAGGAGGCATTGTTTGTGCAACTAGCTAATGTCAACTGCCTGTTTTATCTGCAGATAGATCGTTGGAGCAGTTGTACTGGCCATGTAATCGCTTGGGTTTCTTTTTGTTTTCATGCCCTGAAGACCACTACTGCTTAGACTGTGATGGGCCACATGCCTATTCAGCTTAAGAAAATTTTAATTTCATCAAACGTTCAAAACCTTATCCACTCAAAAAGCACTAGTTTCTGGCTTACTTATAACTTATTTCCCACGCATTTTGGTACTAGCACTATTTTAAGTCACCTCTTTTTAACAATATAGAAAACAAAGCTTTTACTCCCCAAAACAACCTGGGCCTCAGAGAAACAGTCCAAAAAGCACAAGTTTGATAGACTTGAGACCAGCTGAACATTCACAACTACACCACATGGAGGGAAAAATGAGGTTGCTCACAGAAGCAGCAAGACATTAATGCAGCTGCATTAAAGAAAGGTGCTAGCCTATCAGGCTATTGATCCTGGAATTAGCCATGGTATCAATAATGGATGTTTCAGAACCTGAAATTGGTCGCATTCCTTGACTAATTTCCAATAAAATAAGGAATCATTCTGACAAACAAATTTGTGAAGAAGTAACATAAAAACCTAGACATTCTGCAGGAACCCAGGATAATTTTGCTAACTCAGGAGTCAACTGCTTTTCATAGATTCTCGGTTTTGTATTTTAATTTACCCAGACTTAGAAGTGTTAGCTTTTATTAATCCTTGTTAATGTGAGGTTCTAACTGTTACCATTTGCAACTGTCATGATCCAAGAAAATTGTTTCTGTTTTTCCCCTTTAAGCTTAACTATGGGACAACTTTATGAGAAGGAAAAGGATGAGGATGGATTCTTGTATGTTGCCTACAGTGGAGAGAACACATTCGGTTTCTGAATGGTGGGTCTTGGCTACCATACCATCCTGCTGTGTATCTTGTAAATAGCTGATCATTTTCTGTTCTGACATCCACAGAAGTTCCTCCTATATACATGTATTTGTAACTGGATTTATTTCTTAATATATTGATAGGTCTTGTTTTATTAGACTGTTAAATTATAAAAAAAAAAAAAGAGTTGTTGTTTTTTGTGCATTTCTTTTCTCATGGCTATGAATTCCCAGAGCCTCACTCCTTTGGGGGATACATATGACACCGACTAAATAATACAGCAAAGTAGTTGGGCTACTAAAACATGAAAGGAATACACATTTATTCTGTTTTGAGGTGTTAGTTTAAGAAAAATAAAAACATTAAAATAGTATTGGGAACACTGGATTTGCTAGCTTATCCTAAGCAGGAGCAAAATGCTGATCATGTTCAATTGAGCTAATATGTTCCTCTTTCTCAATTAACAAACAAGTACAATAAAAATTCCTGTCACAAACAGGCAGTGCTGTCATTTCTTTACCTTAATTTTGGGCAGAAAATTATACATCGTGTTTACTAGACACTATACAGCTACTTACATTATTTACTAGACACTGTACAGCTTCTCAACCTTCAGGATGTGGATAAGACAAGAAACAAGGAGCTATGTGTAGGTTCCAAAACCAATAGCTTCAGAGCTAATAGAGCTCATCGGGAGAAGAGCTATGCCTGCCCACAGGCCATCAATGGTAAGTACCACGGGCTTTGGAAAGCTGGACCTAGGTGACAAAAGCATAGCATGTAAGGAAAGGGCACCTAGGAGAAGGAATGATACAAACAGGAGACCAGAGAGCTGGAGAACTGGAAGGTCTAATTTGTACATGAGTTGCTGCAGAGAGAGAAACAATTGGTAAGCCATTCAGATTAAACAGTTGCATGAGCAGCTGAAAAAAAAAAAAAAAAAAAAAGCGCGCACTAGTTGTGTTACAGGTAGTTATACAAATATGCATGTCCTTTCAAGTAAACATGGTGTAAATGTTGTAGGACATTACAGAACCAAGTATGTGAAAGAACAACTTTACCATACAGCTGAGCAGTGCGGTTGACACACCTGAAAGATGGGATGCCATTCAGAGGAACCTGGACAAGCTTGAGAAGTGGGCCCGTGTGAACCTCATGAGGTTCAACAAGGCCAAGTGCAACGTCCTGCATCCGGGTCGGGGCAACCCCCAGTATCAATACAGGCTGGGGGATGACAGTCCCTGGGGAGAAGGACTTGGGGTGCTGTTGGGTGAAAAGCTGAACGTGACCCAGCGATGAGCGCTCGCAGCCCAAAAGGCCAATGGCCTCCTGGGCTGCACTGAAGGAAGCGTGGCCGGCAGGTCGGGGGAGGGGATCCTGCCCCTCTGCTCCGCTCTGGTGAGACCCCCCC